TGTGTACGTGTCTGTGTGTTCCTCTGTCTGTGCCTGCGTGTGTGTGTGTGTGTGTGTGTGTGTGTATTGTAGGGCTGAAACAACTAATCGATTAATCGACGACTAATCGATTATTGAAATAGTCGACAACTATTTTAGTAATCGATTAATCGTTTTCTGGTTCACACGGACTCAAACAGAGCAAAAATGACATGAAAATGTAGTATTTTTGATTAAAACCGACTTATTATTTCATGAATATCTGTCTGTCTCATCCAATCAGATAGCAGAATTAGCACAAAGAGCCTGTTACAAACATTTACTTTAAGTTCACGCCATCAATACGTCCTCGAGTATTGCCACTTTAGCTTTTTGTGATGAAAAAATATTTTTTTTCTACACAATTCACAGCCAAGCGATTACTCGATTAATCGTTAGTTGCAGCTCTAGTGTGTATCTGTCTTAATGTGTGTGCGTGTGAGGGATGCGTGTGTATAAGTGTCTGTCATGTGTGTTTGTCTCTCTGTGTGTATGTGTTTGAGTGTCTGTCTGTCTGTGTGCCTCGGTCCTCGTTCTATAGCCTGAGCCCTGGATCTACAGCCTTCTCTGTCCAATCTATGTGTTTTTTATCATTGCATTTCTTGTGTTTTAACTGTTTGATTCTGTGATCTGTGTTGGAAAATTAAACGGTTTTGTAAAGTCCTCTGTCCTCCTACTGTTTTGATTTAAAGCCACACAAGAATACATTGAATTGAATTGAATCCTCCCATCTCTCCTGTCTCAGTATGTTGTCGTTTTACCCTTTCACCAGCAGAGGGCGCACAAGCAGCACTCCAAAACCAAGTCGAGTTATGATTCAATGATGTATCACCTCAGGCTATTCTTAGTGAAGAGGCTCAGTCTGAGACCACAAATGATGAATACATATAAGAATGTGTTGTAAAATGTAAATAACTTTAACTCATGCAGATGACTCACTCACAGTTTATTTTCAAAATATTCTAATTTCATGAAAGTTTTAATTTGGGGTTTTTACAGATGTGAGACAATTACCAACAATATATTACACAACAGATGCTTGGTATATGTTGTTTTGTGTGTAAAAAGTCTGTATTAGGGTTGTTGGGTTGAATGAGATGAAAAAAAGTGAATGGACTTTTGAACAATATCCCAATTTTCCGAGTTTCCCGTTTATATACAACCTAAATTAGTGGTCAATTATGATTAAGTTGAAAAGTGAAACATTCTCGCACACTGCACTTGCATTCACCAGTGTTTTATTTACTTATTTACAGATGAGCACACACCACACGGAAAAATAAGTAAATAATTTCTGAAATTTGGCAAAATGTATCATAATTTCAGCACATTCTGACTGAGCCTTAAAACAAGATTTGCCAACGGGACAAAAAAACTGATCTTGTTTTAAAAAGATACACGAAATGTCTCACTTGGAAGGAGAAAATAAAGCAACAGTTCTTGATGAAATGAGACTAAATGACTTTGTCCCGTTGGAGAATCTTGTTTGAACACAGTCAGAATGTGTCAGATTAAGATAAAATTCAAGCAATTCAAGCAATTATTACCTATATACTTAATCTTTTTTTTTGCAGTGTAGTGTAAAAAAGTATGCCAGCAAAGTAAAACTAATCAGTTGGGTAAAACTTAAAGGTGCAGTAAGCAATGTTGTTAGCTTAGCCGTAGCATCAACTCAAACCACTCCCCCCTCCCCTCCCCTCGCCTCTCCACCAAACCAAACATCCAGCATTTATTTTCTTTGTCACAACAGGGATCTTTCACCTTTTGTCATTTCTGATAAAATCTGGTTATGATAAAACGTATTGACCGTCTTCTCTGTTCGCGCACCTCTGATTGTGATTTGATTTGAAGCATTTTTGTGGCTCAGAAAGCAAATGAAACGTGACTAATTCAACGTGACGAGCCAACTGAATGGGCTCTATATTCTGCGTTTAATACGAGGGCGATTCGAAGCCGAGAGCGATTGAATCTATGTGAGCTGCTGTATTTTTATGTGTACATTAGAGTAAAGGAAAAGGAGGAATGTAGAGCCATGAATCAGCGCATTATTCTGTATTTGGAGGGTGAGGTGTGGTTTTGGAGCGGAGCAGAAAAAACCCCTCCCACAACACGGAAACTTGCATTTTCCCTGGAGGAGGACAGGAGTCAAAATAACACGGACCGGCATCGACAGAGAAGCAGCAGCATCAGCTCAATTCAATGTGTGTGTAGCTGTTAATCACCACAGCAGTAGTCGATTCACCAACAACAGATCAGAGAATCAAATGGTTCGAAGAGAGGAAATGCAATAATATCAAACACATTACAAACACCTTGACTGAGGCTGTAGATCCAGGACTGAGGCTGTCCTGGATCACTTCTTAGAAACAGACATTTAAAGGGCAATTAAGATATGATAAGTCTTAATTGCAGATTATCATATCTGAAGGTATATATGAGGATTTTCCCAAAATTTAGGAAATGACCGCCCTCTCCACTTTAAAAATAAGAAATAACTCTGGTCTTTTTTGATATATCTATTTTTTATGTTTTATTTAAATAAAGGATTGCCCCTTGAGATGCAGCATGTCATTTGCAAATGGGTCCACAGTACGATAGAGATATGAGAATACAGTACATGAACAAGAAAAATACATACACAAAACACATGCACACACACACACACTATGTTAGAATGTTTTCCTCCGGGTTTATCCCAAACTGTGTATATGCATCAAAGAAAGATTTGTTATCTCATGTATGATCAAAAACAAGAACAGATAATATCACCAGAATGACTGACAATTAGGAGGACCAATCGTCTTGATGATCCACCAGGAAGTAGAAAATCCTCCTATACAACTTTATGTCAATACTAAAATTTGTATTGTATTTTACTGAGCATTTTGGTTCGGCTTGGTCAGATCCAGAGCTAGAGGATATTTGCCTATTGTACATGTTGCTAGAGGTAGGGGAAACCGGAGCACCTGGAGGAAACCAACACAGACGCCGAGAGAACATGCAAGTTCTCTCCGAATACCTTCTTGCTGAGAAGCGAGAATGCTGACCACTCTATTTCCCTATTTAGCTATTTTTAATGATATAAATTCCTATATCTATAACATATATGGCCTTGATTTAAAAAAAAAAAAAAAAGCTACAGGTTAAAGTTTCATTCTTAAAATAGATGATTCAAAAGAGGAGTCAATGAGTTGCTAACTTTGAAAAACTGCAGCTAAGAAAGATCATCGAGTCCGTTGCACATTACTGTCTGTACAAAACAACAGCTGTTTGAATCAAAACTGCCAGAGGGGAAAATGTGTCAGTGTATTTTAAAGAGAAAGATGTAAGTATGTACTAATATCTCTGTAGCTCCTGGAACACATGAAACAAAAACAATCACAAAAAACATATGCATAAATTTGGCCAGTAGAAAGGACTTTGAGATTCAAGATTAATATGTAATAACCATCTACCATCTTAATATATTACATTCTAGAGCATTAACCTATTTCTTTGTCTTTACCCCCAGACCTACATCCCTACAACACATCCTCCTCTCCATCCTACAACTTTCCATCAAACGTTCATGGGACGTTAAGCTGGGTTTTTTTTCACTGGGAATGAATTGTAATCAAAAAATATCGTATACAAGATTTTCAACAGATACACTTTGTCATAGGCACATTTTTAAACAGCGGTTCAGTCTTCTAGAAATCCTCTGGAAAAAAATGTGATGAAGACATGAACAGGGCCAGTAGGGGGCATGGTCTCTATCGCCATGCAGGTGGCAGTGTGCCCTAACCCTATGTGCATGGGAATGAGGATTGACATGAATATTTCCAAGTGTATTGATTGGCATCTGTTTGTTTTAGTCAAGATTATGCTAAAATATACTGTCCTCAACTAAAGTCAAGCTTCACTTTTGAATATTAATTAGTTAATTCCCGGTAATTCCCAATTATTTCCATAAATTCCCATAAATTAGCTTGAAATTCCCATAAATTCTCATAGAAAGTTGCCATCTTTGAAAAATCTCGGAATTTTGCACCTCACACAAAAACACAAAGAGATCGTCTCATATCCAGTTTAGCGCAAACATTTGTTTCCATGAAGACCGACGCCAGGGAAGCAACAATCACATGACAGGAAATGGGGGAAGAAGAAGCCGTGGTTACAAAGCATACAGGCCGCGTACAGACAAAAACAATAACAGTCCTTCAGGCTTCTGTTGGTTCTTCTCATCTCTATGAAAGACAAATTTGAGGGGGAAAAGTGGCTCCATATGTCGCGGAAATATGAGGAAAAATGACCAGACAGAGGAATAATATTTACAAGACGTATGTGTGATGTGGCAGCAGGATGGGTCAGAAGTGAGAGAGAAAAATCCCAATGGGGACAATACCCCAAGAACTTAAAGGGCATTGGACATTGGTCATCCCTCTCCCTGTGGACCAATGGCTTCTATGTGTTTGTTATCAATGCATTTCCTGTGTTCCAACTGATTCTCTGATCTGTCTGTAAAATTCTCCAAACTCTGACTGCTGTTGTGATTTAGATCTAAACAAAAATGACTTATTCCGACCAAAAGCTATTTATAACCAGGACTTCTTTTGACCTTTTCCATGCATTAATGTTGCATAGACACTGTGAGCACACAACAGTTAATGTATTTTTGTTGTGATGAAAATGGTAATCATGAAAGTGTGCTGTCTTGTAACCTTTTCAACCTACCAATGTAAAAAGGGGTCGGCCCACATAAACATTTTTGCTTCTGTCTGCTCCTTTTGGGGTTAGGGTTAGGTTTAGGGCATTATAATCTGTTTGTAATATTTGGAAATGTCCAAGCGCTCAATAAACTAAACTAAAAAGAATGGAAGTGAAATACACAACCCGTATTATACAGGACTTTGATTCCCCTATCCACCAGTAGCAGTAGCAGCAACAGCAGTGCCAGTACCAGTACCAGTACCTGTAGCAGTACCAGCCTCATGGTCTCATACCTCTGGTCAGTTTGCGCAGAAGTTGTTGTCGAGCGATGATGCGAGAAAGCCTGAGCGCAGAACGACAGCGAGGTGTGTTTCCGAGTCTCAGGTAGTGATTCTGTCCATCGGCCGTCATCGAACCGAGACAAGAGCCTTCACTGGTGCTGTCGCTGTCACTGCTGCTCTCAGGACTGTCCCCGGTGGTGGGAGGACCAGTGGATAGACCGGGGGAGAGTCCAGTGGAAAGACCAGGGGAACTTTCAACCCTTCGACTGTCCATCTGCATTATGAAAACTCGTGAAATGTTCTGATCGATCTCGGGTTTAGAGCTGTCAGAAACCAATCCACAATCTTTGCTCGTCAAAACTTCCACTTCAGCTGCAGTGTCTTGACTCTCTGATACATCCATACTCATTTCCTTTCATAAGTAAACCCCATATAAAAGGTCTTAACTAAAGGATGGATACGATGGATGCAATATTGGACAAAAAATCTTGCCCAGTTTTCCCTAATTCTTACAAGATTGGTGAATCTTCCTATGCCACTTTGTCATTGGACATGACACCAGGTATGACATACACAACAATAAATCACAAAAGCCACCAGCAAGTAAATAAGCAAGGTCTGAAGCTTGTCGAATGTATACAACAGAGACTACACCAACCAAAAGTTCAACGAGGTTCTTTGGGTCTTCTGATACATACTATAAAAGCATTAGCATCAGATAATTGAGAATTGCATGAGATAATTGTCTTTGAATTTGATGATCTCACAGCTGGAGCGATTCCAATTCAGGACTATGCATTGCCTCGTGTACAGTTGTAAACAATATTACCAACTTTTTGTCACAGACTACACCTGGGCTAATGTAAAACGATTATATACACATAAGTTACACATCTTATACACATCTAAGTTGAATCCCATCAAGAAAATCCAGCTTCAAACAATATTTCCAACTTTATCTCACAAACTGCTGCTGGGCTCATGTAAAACTACTATAAAAAAAACAAGTATTAGGTTCTTTCCCACCGAGAACAGCCTCAGATGTGTCCAATGCTTATATCTATAAATCAACTTGTCCTTAGTCTACATAATCGCAATCAAAAAGTGAAAGACAAAAAACTTCTCAACAAACTCTCACAGAACTTATTCTCATTATTTCCAGTCTTGTTAGCAACATATTTCTTCTTTTCTCCATCGCACGCATGACGGTTCAGTCCAATTTCTCATCCATCAGCTCCCTCCATTGCCTTCCAGTGTAATAATCCACTCTGTGTTTTGAATCTCCTGATGCCAGTTCCCTGCGATGCCACTCTCTCCTTGATCCAGCTCTTGCGTGCTTAGCTGCCCTTATTTTCGCGCGGACACTCCTAGAAAATTCCTTCTGTCTAGGAACATGCCCTTACTGGACCCACTCCTGCCTGCACCACCTGGCTCAGCTGACGCTCTCCAAAAACGCCTACGCTATAGACCCGAGATCAACAATCACAAACTCCCTATATTCCCCAGCCTTTTATAACCCATGTGACCAGCAGCGGGCCAATGGCGTGAGAGCGTGATGATGGACTTGTGAATAAGGTTTGTTCCACTGCTTGGTACATAACATGGCCTCGGGATGAGTATGTGAGAGAAAGGCAAAGTCTCGGATGGGAGAGATGTAATCAAACGGGACAGGAAGAAGGCTATCCCATGCTACAGCACTGTCCCAAATGGGAAAGACTGGAACAATGGAGGACATGTGGGTGTGCTCCTGTGGAATGCATGTAGGAGAGGCTATTGTGGCTCTAACGCTGGACTCTGGACTGGAGAAATGATCATTTATCGTGAAGACTACTTTATATGGTTAGACAGCGGTGTTTTTAAAATGATTACACACACAGTTAATTGTTATGGCCATATTTTGGAGATTTCTAAAAGATAACACGGTCATCCCTCTCTCATTGTTAGTGGTTGTGAGAAGCCATGCTGTCAAATTAACGTATTGTACAATGAATTTAGTTTATTCTTGTACAGCCCTAAATCACAGCAGCAGGACTTTATAAAGGTGTAGATTCATCACCAACAGATCAAAGAATCAAACTCAAGAAGTGAAAATGCAATTATGTCCTGGATTATCACTGTCCTTAGACAATCCTGCGTCGGCAAGAAACAAAATTTAAAAAAAAACAAACAAAAGGGACAAAAGTGAGAAACCGCTGATGTGATGGATCCGCTCCCACAGACATAGAAAAAAACAGGCACTAGATGCAGTTAATCTTAAAGTAGGGGGTCAGTAGCACCAAAAATACAGACAAAATTTGAAGATTACAAACACAACAACATAATCTGCATCTGCATGAGCGGTAAAAGTCTGGCCAAAAAGTTTGCGTGGATTTGGGATTTGGTCAGACACACAGTGGGGCGGCTGCGGCTGTAAAGTGCCAAACTTCCATCGTGTACTTAGGCAAGACACTTCACCCACATTTCCCAGAATGAGTCTGGTGTGTGTGTGTGTGTGAATGGCTGGTGGTGGTGGGAGGGGCACAGACTGGTTGCCTCACTTCTGTCAGTGTGCCTCAGGGCAGCAATGGCTACAGTAGTAGTTTATCACCACCGTGTTTAGTGAAAGAATAATGACATGTGAAGCGGCTTTGAGTGTTCAAAAAAGCGCTGTATGAAACTAAATAAATAGAAAATAAATAGACGATTGATAGAAAATGAATAGACAATGAACAGAGAATAAACAAAAAATAAATAGACATAATTATGATTGTCCTGTGGCCTCACCACCTGCAGAGGGTCAGTGAGGGGCTGGTGCTATGAGACTTGGGTGGCATCTCTGACTGCCACCCCCCTGACCCAGAAATGGATTAAAGGGTAGAAAATGGATGGATGGATGGAATTATGATTGTATTTTCCCCTGGACCAGACTCGTTTACAGTAAATGGATAAATGTAAGGAATGCAGCCAGAGGAGGGTTGTGGAGGAGGAGAGGTCGCACTCTGGCCCTGTTTGACAAAGCCGTGATTTAGCCAAACTGCAGGATATGAGAGGTTTTAATTCACTTTGGGAGGTAGTAGAAGGAGGCGGGTGGAGGCGGGGGGTGGGGGCACGTGAGAAGTGGGTCATAGTAAAGTCAGTTTTGGGTCAGCAGGCTCCGTTAATCTGACAGAGGAGAGGAGCTTTCCAGGCACTGCAGGCACGCCACTTCAACATGTATCAACTTTACTGACTCTGACTGAAAGACACCCCTTTACGTTAGAAGGAGTACTAGTTAACCTGGAGAAGGACATGATTACACTGCCCTCTGGAGGCGCTCAAAGGAACAGGCACAGGCTTCGATAGACAGACAGACAGACAGATACATAGATCAAATTGATCATTCTATAAAGCTAAGAATAGTAATATAAAAAGCAACAGCCCTTCAGGTCACTGCAGAAGTATCTGAGATTTGGCACAATCAACTAGTAGTAAGTAATCTTTATTTATATACCGCCTTTTCACTGCACATCGGAGTCTCAAGCGGTTTACAATTGTGATTTTTGGGAGTACCAGTTCAGGAGGCACATGCCAGACCTATTGTACATATTTTTAGTGGTAGGGCAAACCGGAGCACCCGGAGGAAACCTACGCAGACACGGCGAGAACATGCAAACTCCACTCAGAAAGGCCCTGGTCCAACCGGGATTCGAACCCAGGACCTTCTTGCTGAGAGGCGAGAGTGCTACCCACTCAGCCACCGTGCCGCCGATTAGGATGAAGAGATACAGAACAGTAGGAATGAGGAGCACACAGCACAAGATGAATGAACAATATCTCTACACTATATAGTATACATATAATGTTGAATGTTTTAATGTATGTTAAAATTAATATTAACATTATTAAATCTGAGAAACAGCAAAGCAATCCATCTATAATACACAGGTCACAGAACAAAACAAGAGCAATACCACACAGAGCAATTCCCATTCACTCAGACAGGACACAACCCTAAACACTCTCTGGCCCTACACCTTCACCCATTCATCCAACACAATGTTTTCATTGTTCCAGATGATTCAATGTTCCAGATGATTCCTCAATCTGTGGAGAACAGTTTGCAGTAGAATAGTGCAGAGTTTGATCAGTTTGAAGAGAAGAGCTGCCATTAAAGCTGGATCCTAAAAGCGATTATCTCACCGACAAATTCAATAAGTCTGGATAGAAGTGTCCATGTGAAATACAAGAAGCTTTTGGGTAGAAAATATGCCTACACACACGCACACACACACGCACACACATAATCACACACATGCACACATATGGGGAGCAGGGTTACAATATAATGGCTCCCTTTCTATCTTCCCTCTCTCTCCCCTCTCCTCTCTCCCCACTCTCTGTCCTCTCCTCTGCTCTCCTCTCTCTCTCCTATTTTTCATCTCCCCCCTCCTCTCTCTCCTCTCTCCCCTCTCTCCCCCTCTCTCTCGTCTCTCCTCATATAACAACTAGTCTTTCGGTTCCCTTCTCTTTGGTTCATACTATTGTACTAAAGTATTTACACATATGAGGTTTGGCTTTTATCTCATTTTAAGAAAGCTTCTCTCAGTCCAGTAATACTGTGATGTCATCGTACCACTATGACATCACACTTTTTTTTCACACAGTTTCCTTATCAATCAAAAATAAAAATTAGTTTTGGTAGCCACATGAGATTCAGGCAAATGGCATTACCCTTCCTACTTGTTTCAAAATATATTTTCTATATACAATTTCACAGTTTAAAACATGAAATGCCTCAAAAGAGTCTCAAAAAAATATTCTTTAAGCTATGCATCTATACAAAAAGACAAATCGCCCACTTCTGGGACCCTTGTCAAACTTTCAGAAGGAAAATCTTGCTTTATGAGCCGTTCTCACACGCACATACTGAACTACTCCACTGCTGCGACCTCACGTTTGACCCAAAACTCTGCCAGATTACGAGCAAATCCTGGTACTTTATGCAGGCATTTATCTGGCAACGCAGACCCGCCACTGCACAGCGATCTGCTCTGTGAGAGACGGCAAATACAAGGTGATATACTGATTCTTAAACCACGAAAGAGCACATTGTTAATGCCTTTTTAGTTCCGTAACAAACAGCAGTAGAAATGATGTATTGACCTTTATCTGACCAGAAAAGTCCCACTGACATTTGAGAATTTCCTTCAGGGAGTCTTGGCCGCATAGAGAGGGGTTATGATGGTGCTATAGGGGAGCTATTGTACATGTTTTTAGTGGTAGGGGAAACTGGAGCACCTGGAGGAAACCTGGAAAGACACA